AGGGACATGTTACATTTCAATTGGGCTTTGCTTCCCATGAGGCCTGCTTCTATCCCAATTGAAGCAATTATATTTTAGTAATCTTGAAACTCACTACTGTCTCCTGTAAGCACTGTAAACCTAAAGGGGGAAAACTGTCTTTGTGTGTCAGTAAACCGTATGATTCATGAAGTTCTATTTTCATTAAGCCCTCATTATAACGATGTAAACCAATCTATAACTAAAAAGTAAATCAAGAAAATAAAGTATTACAACAGAACTGTGGGTTAGCAGTTGCTTAAATTGTTATCTTTTGCAGATATTTTAATTATACTAAAACTCAGTAGTTACTGGACAGATATTTACACAATATACTGGACAAATATTTAATACATTATACTATATATTATATATAAATATTTATATATATTATATATCTTATAAATATTTAATACTGGACAAATATTTACAAATATATTACAGTAAAAACTGAGTTCAGTTAGGCAGACATAAAAAGTATGAATTAATAGTAGTGCTTCTTCTTATCCTTCAGGAATTTGTAGGTACTCACAAGATTGTGAAACAAGCAACTGCTCATAGTAAATTTTTATTTAATAACAAAACCTGAAGTAAGATTACTGTACCAACACGCCATGCCATTGACCCAGTGGGCCTCAATCAAGAAAAATTTTTAAAATAAAATAGGAAGTGATTGAAGCAATTGCTACATTCATTTTAAATATGTAATGCCTCGGGCTGGGGATTTAGCTCAGTGGTTTCGCCGCCTGCTGCGCAAGCTCAAGGACACAAGTTCAATCCCCAGTTCCAATCAATCAATCAATGAATAAATAATGCCTCCACATCTCCCATAGAATTAGTTAAAATTTGAAAGAAATACAAGCTGGCCATTCAAGGCAAGCTGTGTTACAGACAGCACATAATTCAGATGACAGGGAATCTTTTTGTATAAGTATTGAAAATAAGAAAGAGAGCAACAGTCAATGTCAATTAGATAAAGCAATAATAATGAAAAAGACCCTAGTAAAGACAAGGGCCAAGACTGGGGGAGGGGGTGGCTGGGAAGGTGTTAGCAAACTATCCCATTCTTAGCAGCTACTGTCCTGACTCATTTACAACAGAACACCTCAAAAGAGCTTAGGGGGTTCAAACACGCCACTCCAAAATACGCTGCTCTAGCTACTGATTATTTAAGCTGAAGACCCTGGAGAAGCAGCAGGTGCAGGAAGGGTGTGTGACCTCTCTACCGAAAATCAGGTCATGAAATTTCCCACAACCAAGGTGCCCTCCCATGCTAAGAAGAGAAGCTCCTCATCAGGGTGACACCAGGATGACCCCATACAAACAAGTCAACTAAATAGCCCTCACTTTCCATTAGCCCCTCACAGTGCTTAGTTTACCCCCCACAGAGCGTCTCCTCCCTGGCTCTGCCCCTGCTGGCCTTGGCTTCCCTGACCTCTATTCCAGTGACTGTTCCTGTTGAGGTCACCAATTTCCACGTTGCTAAATTCAGTGCTCAAGGCCTAGTCCTCATCTTACCCTATCAGCAACATTTGAGATAGCCACTTTTATCCTTTCTCTCTTTCTTCTACTCCATTCTCTCTTCACCATTCTCTCTTTCTTCTACTCCAGCTCCTCTTCCCCGGTGTTCTTTACTACAATGTCCTCGTTTTCCTGAACCCCGAGGGCTCTGCTCTCCCACCACATCTAGTCCTTCCATTCCCTCCCAGCCAGTCCTGAACTGTGAGAATATATTTCTGGATTCGGTATTGTCTTCAGGCAGGATCTCGCTATGTAGCCGGGTCTGAGGTCCCACCTCAACTTCCTGAGTGCTGGGATTAGAGATGTGCGCGACTGCGACAACTCATCTTCACACGGAACACAGTTCATGTCGTTCCTCCATGCACGACCTCCCAGGGCTCCGATCTCATTCAGAATAAAATCTGAAGTCCTTACGATGGCCTGCAAAGCCCTACACACTATGCGCCCCACCACTCAGCCCCTGCGGTCCCTCCACCTCCTCGCTCACCCTCTGCCCTTGGACTGTCTGTGACAGGCTCCACGCCCGCCTGGAGCGCCCTCTGCCGTACTCGCGCTGCCCCCGCGGGAGCCCGTGAGCTCTCTCCTTACAGGACTCTTCTAGAACGTGAATCATCCCAATATTTTTCTGCCACTCTGTCACCTTACCCTGCTTTGTTTTTCTGCTTAGCCATGATAACAAATTTCCATCAGTTTATTATCTGACTTCCCCAGCTGTAATATACCCTCTAGGAGAGCAGAAATTAACTATGCCTGTGATTGCTTATCCCAGTGCCTAGAAAAATGCAGGTAAGAAACCCCTCAGCGGGGCCGGGATTTAGCTCAGTGGTTTCAGCGCCGGCCTTGCAAGCTCAAGATCCTGAGTTCGATCCCCGGTACCAAAAAAAGAGAAAGAAAGAAACCCCTCAGGGACCATCGAGGTGACTGACCGTATGATGACAAGCACCTTTAGGAACATCTGATAGACTAATTCTGAAGACTTTCAGATATAAAATGTTCTGATAGGCTTCATGAGAGGACAACAACCACCGGAAAAGATTTCAGACAGAGAGACGGAGCCGATCAGTTGCTGCTCTCAGGACGGAAAGAGCAAAGGCTTGTCCCTGAGGCGACAGCATGGAACACTCTCCTGCACGCCTGTATCTGCTTGTTCTTATCAATAAATCTGCAAGGGATACCTTGTGCCGGGAATAAATTTTAGAGATCACACTGATCTCAATACAGGCCCAAACAAGATGAATTAATTGTAATATTTTATAAATCTTTTAAAGTAAGAATATATGGACTTTATTAACTCTCATTTGAAACTTGTGGAGAAGGGAGACACTACTTTTCTGTCTTTAATAATTAGAAATGTTTCCAGACCAGCATGGTATTTAAATTTTTGAGATGTGTAAAACTGTGTTAGACAAGGCATTAAGAATACTTTAAAGTGTTTATCTACTACGTTAATTTTAATTATGTTCCACCGGACTCACAATGTTTTGAAATGCTTTCTAAAATGGCCTCAAGATCTTTTTATTAATCACAATTCAAATGCTGAGGTTTCAGAGTCAGGGTAGCAGCAGTTTTGCCTGAGAGCGCCCTCTCCTGTTTCAAGAGTGTACTGCAAATACATTTCATGGGCTTCACAGCAATTTTGGTTCGGACAAAAAGAGGCTTCGGGCCAGGGAATTAGCTCAGTGGTTCAGGCGCAAGGTCCCAAGTTCAATCCCCAGTACCAAGAAAACAAAACAAAACAAAACAAAACAAAAGGGGCTCTCAGGAAAATGTCGGGGCACACAATCATATTATTTAAATAAGCTCCCCTTCCTTCTGAGGTTTGGAAGGAGGTGTTGCTGCAAATAGACTTACATGAAAGGGAAGTAGCAGACTTCAAAGTGGAATGTTGATTTGCATTTCTTCTCCAGGAATTCTCATGGAAATGAACTTTATTTAATCTTTCAAAACTTGGAGTAATTGCACTAATCTGTTTCCCTTTCCTTACATGATTTTAAAGGCACGATATTATTTGCAGCTTTTATCTGTGGTACTTTTTACAACTCAACTATTTGCTTCCTAACCAGCAACTGTCTCGCTTTGAAAATTAATTATGCCCAAATTCATATATTGATGTCACTTTGAAATAGGAACTTATTAAAACAAGAAAAATCCTTGTTTCATATAACCCAGGGAAATCTTCAGATAATCATTTTGAGTTCCATGAGACTGCAATCAAGAATGATAAATACTGGGAATTACCAATATTAAACCAATATACACAGCCCTACACTTTTGGGCCCTGGGTAAGGTTCACGGAAGGCAGCAGCTGCAGGGAATCGGAAGGGCTTAGGAGAGGTGAAAAGTCATCACAGCACCTCCACCTGCAGTCCAGGTGGAACTGAAACAAAACAGGACAGGATTGATCAATGGAGAGTTGGGGAATGTTGTTACAAATATGGTCAGTTTGTTCCACTGAATCCTTCTATTGTTTCTGAAGAATCAGAGCCATACCTAAGTACTGCCAGGAACGGCTAAAATAGTTCTCAATGACTGGACCTCTATGAAGGGGTGATGCAGTTTTGGAATATGAACTTTAATAGATAAATAGAAGTTTAGTTTTAACAGGTGTGTTTCTTATACAATCAAGGGTGGAGAAGTGGGTTTTGCAGGTCTATTTTTATCAGCATTGATTTACGTCTGCATCTACTTGGCCCGCCCACCCAGGCCCATGCCACCTCTCACCGCTTGTCTGACACAGTCTGCACAGTTGTGTGAAAATACTTTTCTACACTTTAAAGACTGTTTTTAAATGCACCTGATTTCTATAGTGCAACTACTCAAGTTGTCAGTCATCCAGTTCCGTCCTCTTGTCCCAACTGTCAAGAGACCTGGTGAAAGACTTTGGAGTGCAAGTCCCTGTCTGACTCTTTCACCCAGATCAACATCTCTCATCATCTCTGAATTATTTTACAAACCTGTAAATGACAGAAAACTGATATCCGTGCCTATGATTCTTGTCCACAAAAGTACAAATTGTGTTGAATAGGAGGAATTATTGATTACTACCTTGTGAATGACTACACTCATCTTCGCATCTACTTGCAAACTCATTCTAAAATTCCTTCCTATGGATGCCTCTGCCCTCTGAATTTCCCCTGGAACCTGTTACTGTGTATCTTACCAGTTCCCTCATTAATTAATGAGTTAAATAAAATCTTATGCACATGCTCATTTTATATCTTGATGAGTCAGGATTGCAGGCTCTTCAAAGAATCATCCTTCATAATACCATCAATTAGAGTTGGATGGTGTTATTTTTCTAGGATATGCCAAGACGCCATGTTCAATGACTCCTTAATGGTGAAATTGTGTACATATGCCTGACAGAGAGTCGATTGTTGAAGGTTATTGAAATTGATTTCACACCTTTAAAAAATAGCCCCAGGCCTTGCAAAAGATATAAGCCCATAGCACAGCAAGAATTAGTTGAAATACATCTTTAATTTTAGAAAAATCAATAGTCAATCTACAGAATACTTTGTTACATGATTAGTAAGGCTCAATCTGTTTTATATTCATACTGATAGGACACAGTCATATTTTGAGTAAAACATTATAATAGTCATATTAAGGTAGGCCTTCTAACTGAATTTAAAAGAAAAAGCACAGCTCCAGAATGAAGGCAACTAAAGTCCTAAAGCTGTCTAATAAATACACAAAGTCAAAAATTCCAGGCTTTATTCAGTGGAAAAATACCCTTTTTTCATACCTTTCTTAATAGATAAACTATCATGACTCCCAGAGAATAAAGAATGTTCTTAAATTCAGACCTGCACAATTGATTATGTAATGATGGAGCTATGAATGCATTCACACAATTAATAAGACTGTGGTAAGGTGACCAGATCAGACCATTAGAGCAGAGGGACTTGTCACAAACCATCATCTCCTTGGAAGTCTGCCATGGTGACCATCAAGCAAATGACTCCAAAACAGTCCATTTCATAAAGCAGCCCACATTAAAATGCTAGAAAATGAGTGGTTTTACTCCCTCTCTCCTCCCTTAAAAGCAGAGGTTTTCTGAAGGTCACTATCTACTTTCTGGCTAAGGAGATTCTACTTCTTAATCTGTAAATCTAAATGGACCCTACCAGATTTTTCACCTGACACTATATTCACACTTGATTGCCTGCCATTTCTAAGGTCAGAAAAATTGCATTCAAAAGCTTCTCATTTCCACACAGAATGTTAATTTAACACTAAGTAATGAATATTTAAGGTCCTAATAGATGGGCAAATTAACAATTATGCTGTAGCACCCTGCTGTTAATGCTATCAACCTTTGCATTGTGGCTGAATCTCAATTTGGGCTTTAGTCAGTCTTTTGTTACTCTATTTCCAACACTGACTTTCAAGATGCTCCTGAAAGCTGGGTGGCTTGTAACTAACCTCAGAAGTGAAGTGCCACAGACACTAGTCAGCCTGCGAAGCACGAACAGAACACGTGCTGAATTTATTTGGAGGTGTAAATATTTTTTAAATGAGTTCTTTATGGGCAGGATCCCAGACAGCACACTTAGAATGGCAGCAATTAACCAGCTAACTTCCCTGGGATCACTATGCAGCATCAGATCTGGTCCATCTCTATCTTCCTGAGACGACAGAAGCCATGCCAGAGTGTGCCCTTGCTAGATGATGAGGAAAAATGGCGGGGTTTTTAAACACACACACACACACACACACACACACACACACACAGGCACGCGCATGTGCAGATTTGCCCTCCTATACATAGTGAGTCTTCAGCATGTGATACTATGAACAATACCTCAAGTGAAGCTAAAAAGAGCAATATCAATTCATTTTTACCATGATTTTTGCAATATGTGCCTTTGTAGTAAAAAAAGGGCAATAAAATCTGTTGATTGATACACACCATCATAAGTTACTTGAACAGATGAAAATGAATGCAATACAATATTAAATAAAACATAGGAAATAAACTCTGTAGGCCAACAAATAAATGTTATTTGGAAGAACATTATATCAGTTTTGACTGAAAACAAATCTAGTAAATAGAGAAAAATGCCTCCCAATCATATTCAAGACTCAACATAAATTGAAGGTGTGTTACTATCTCCTGGAGGAGTTTGTTTTTCAAAATACTTAGAATATAGTTTGTTTTGTAAAATACTACGAATATTGATTTCATACATCTTTAAATTCTGACCTGTCACTGTAAATATTAAAAGGAAATTATAAGCAGAATTATAACTGCTAGTGCCATTGGTTTTTCAAGAGAAACTAAACTACTATAGTCATTTCCTGCTTTGAGGAATAGAAATGTTTCCTCTTAGAAATCTAGGTAAAATAATCTAGTGTCTTTTACTTTAGGCATGTCTTAAAGAAAAACACTTAAAATTAAGCAGGATTAGCATAAAACAGCATGATAGCAGCACAAGCATAAAATAATCATAATATGATTTAACTTCTACTCAAGAGAGGCTTGTGTTAATTACAAATAATACTTTATCAAAATATATTCTTAGAGTGTACTTTTAGAAAACAATATTCATGAGCTTTAAAAATTCATCTTTAATCCACATAAATATTTTAACTAGTGTCCAACACTCTTACTCCATTTTTGAAAGGATTGCCACCAGCCAAAGGGCAGAGTGTCTTAGTGACCTGTACTAAAATATGTATAGCAACAGAAATAGCTCTTTTGCCACACACACCAGAATATAAAGACACTTCAAAAATGATTACCTAGTAAGGGAAAGACAGATGCCAAATACAGCCAAAGATTATTTATCAATGTGGCCAGAGGATAGGAATAGAAATAATTCAAAACCACAGATACTTCCAAATCTGCATTTTAGCCTGCAGTTTGTTTCAATATCACTCTCCTCTTAAGCATGTTTCAGAAAGGAGGAAGAGAGGAAATGAAGTACTTTAGTTTATGTCCCCTTTGTGCTTTTCCCTCTGGTATAGCAAGAAGAGGTAGAGACGGAGGGTTATGGTGTTCAGGTAATCCAAAGCACAAAACAATCAGCCACTGAGTAATAAAAAGTCAAAAACCCTTCAGCCATGCTGGCTACCAGGTCACGCACACATTGGATAACAATGCTTTGAGTTTCAATAGGAAGCAAAACATCACACAAATTACAGGTTTGTTTTAGATCAAACCCAAACGGCAAAAATATATCAGAAGTATAAAACATAGATGGTTTGGTTTTAGGTCTAAACTTCTCTAAACACAGCCTTTGGACCTGTCCTCAGCCCACTACTCTGAAGACATTTCCACTCTTTCATACAGTCACGGAATTCTGAACTTTCTGTAGTTTCTGTGAATTACAGATTTGACAAGCAGCTATCAGCATCTCTTCTTGCTGCTCCTACTGTGTGACGCAGCCACCAGCTTTACCGGCGTCTTCTCCATCTGTTTTAATCCATTTCTTTTCTATTTCAACCTGTTATGCAGAAGCAAAACATAGGCCACATTAGCAGACACAGTGCAGTCCTAATGCCGCTTCAGTCCTCTGCACATGAGGCAGAGCCACAGCCACTTCAGCTTTCGGCCAAGACACAGCCCAATACCCTTCCAGGGTGGCTGTGGAGGGATGCTCTGCTCTTGTGTGGGGCAATGGAGGCCATAAATCCTTCCCTCAGGGGCCAAATCAAAAACTCTAAGTCAGACATAGTTTTCATCATTATTTTTATTATAAAGTGCCTCTAAAATATGAATTCATTTTAATTTCATATGTAGAATATACATTTTTGATAAAATGCTTGCAAACCTGGCAAGGCATGTGATTAGTTATCCCCCCTCCCCAACTATCATATATATACCCTAGCCCACCTGAGGTTTATAACATACCCAGAATTATCTAACTAAAACAAATTACTTTACACACTAGAAACCCAGTTCTCTGCCAGTTATCATTTTTATGTCAGTTCAAATGACACCTCCAGGAGACCCTCCTGGGTGACCCTAGATAAAGAGGCCCCTATTGCTCCCTATGCTGTTCTAGTTTATTTCCTCTCTAGAATCTCTCGGTAGTTGAAACTGTATTATCTGTTCATCTACTAACTGCTTTTTGTTTCCCCCACTGGAAGCTCCATAAGGACAGGGCCCTCATCTCCTGGTCGCCATCTTTGCATCTGTAGCCATCCCTGGCACCTGCTCACTGCAGCAGACACGTGTTACATGGAGGGCAGCGTTCTGAAGCAGCCACCAGGTGCCGATCATATCAAAGGCTATTAAAGCTAAAGCTGCTTCCTTATGTCACTTGGAGTCTCCTACTAAAACTGTCCAAGCCTGGCACAGTCGATGAGGAGAAACTCAGTGTAAAGGAAGCCTCTCTGCCCTTGAGCCACACATCACTCCCACATCACACTCACACTCCTAGTGCTATAGGTCCAGGCCCCAGGAAGCATCTCTGGAGTGAAGATTTGTGCGCAGTTAATGGAAGAGTGAAGGCTGGGAGGAAACAGAGCAGATACAGGAGCCGCAGGCTGCAGGGCAGCATCTTAAAGGTAGCTGCCAGTGCCCCGGGAGGCAGACCCCACTGCGGTCCACAGACTGAGCCCCAGCTGGTGCATCCACCCACAAGGGGACTCAGGCTGATCCAAAGGAATGTGACCATGGGCAAAGCAGCTCTCTTCAGCCAGCATAGTTCCCAGGCAGCATCTTGCCATCAGTTTTAACAATAGGGGGAAAAATCATGGAACTCCAATACATACACTTCTCAACATATGGTCCAAAAAACACTGACCATAATGCACATCATAGGACCACCAATGGGTGTACTTTCAAAAGGAAGAAATGAAATCAGAATGGCATTACTCATGGCTGAGATTCCAACAACATGTAGACTTTAAAATGCTGTCAGAAAGTGTAAGTGTTGTTCACATCCAAGACAAAAAGAAAACACAGCCAGGTATGGCGATGCACACCTGTAATCCCAGCTACTGAGCTGAGGCACAAGAATCACAGTATAAACTTTAAACTTAAGCACGTATTTGTTATGCGTTCTTCAATCTCTGTGACTTATGAAATATTTCCTGATTTTAAAAATATTTAAACAAAACCAGGAACATGTCACCATTTCAAGATATTTCAGGAACTCCATGGCAAAATTTTCCATATATCTACCATCCTTGATGATAAGAGAGAAAAGTAAGTTCAGAAACAGTAAGTGTATGGCACTCTGATTCATCTAGTCCAAGCGGCAGAACTGATGGTGAACATTTAAAACTCTTGTAACAGAGTGACTCAGCATTTCCCAAAACATGCTCCACGGAGCACTACTCCATGAGATACTGATATGCACCTGACACACACATACCACCAGACAAGATTCCACAGGCAATGGGTTGGGGGAAACTATGTTAAGTTTAACAAGTTTCTTTATTGCAGCCTTTATTTAACGTTAGCGTGTGCACCGCCCCAGAGCGCTGAGGAAGTGAGCCACAGGGGCGCCAGCAAACCCTCTCCCCTGACACCCACTGTGCCGAGCCATTACCTGGATCCACACCACAGAGTTGCAGGGGTCATAAAGGACACTGTTCTGAGCTTGAGAAGATAAGAGTGGCAGTGAACAACAGAAAGAGGGCCTCTCTGAGGCTCACTGATGAAAATTAATGCCCACTAGAAAAGTGAAGAAAATCTCTACAATAAATGCACACCAGACCACCTTAGTTGGGGGAACAGCAGTGTGGACCAGAGCAGCACGGCTGCAAGCAGATCCCAGCCAGGGCTTTGCCCCGACCCCAGAGGCTGGGGCACACCGGTCCAAGATAAGGGCCTGCCTGGAAAAGAGCTGCACAGGCACAGAAGCAACCCCCAGAAGCTCATCCCAATACCATCAGTAAGTGCGCGCGAGACTCTAGCCGGAAGCTTGCTCACACAACAGGAACTGGGGTGCACAGCCCCCAGCCAAACGCCCTCCCAGACAATAGCTACATAGGGGCCCTAGCTAATGGCACACCTAGATACCATCCCAAGTGTGCACAGGCCCCAGCCAGAAGCCCATCCAGACAACAGGTCAGCTCAGGGATCCAGAAGGTGACCTTTCTGAACCCAGGAATTAGCATACTGATGAGCAGCAGAGAAAACGCAGCTCTGTTGCTTGCTGAGAATTGAAGACCACTGGGTGAGCAAAAAGTTGTCTCAACAAAGGCAAAGCAGGCTGCATCTGTTGAAATGAAAAGACATGTAAAACAAGTCTCAAAACCACACTTCCAGATCACTTAAGGCAACCGCAAAGGGAAATGAGTTGGAACAATCTGATACTCAACCACCTGGACTCCCTGAACTGGCAACAAAAGAGGATCTGGAAAAAATGAAATCAGAAATAATTTCTGAGATAACAGCAGAGATTGCCCATAGTGCAAGGCATGATTCATAAATCTAGAGTGGACACAGATAAAAAAAAAAAATAGAGGAGCTGAGGAACATGATGGAAGCCCAACATAGGAAACAAATGGAATCCATAAAACAGATGCAAACAGATTTGCAGGAGATTAAAAACTCCATTGAAAGTTTACACAGCAAAATGGGCCAGTGTGAGGGGAGAATTTCAGATATAGAAGCTAAGATTGCAATTAGTGAGCAGGAAAAGAAAAATTTCTTTAAAATAGTAAGGGGCCACAAGAAATCAATCCAGAAGCTGCTAGATGATGCAAAGAAGAATAACAAGACTGATCGGAGTCGATGAAGAAACAGGAGAGAGTGCAGATGACATAAAAAAACTGTTCATAGAAGTGATGGCACAAAACTTCCCAAGCAGGGGAAAAGAACTTGACATACAGACAAGTGAGGCATATAGGACTCCAACTAGCTGTGATCAAAAAAAATCTACACATAGGCAAGTAATAGTTAAGATTCCAGAAACCCAACAGAAGAAAAAATTCTACAAGCACTTAGAGAAAAGAAATAAATCATATACAAAGGAAAGCCCACCAGAATCACAGCAGACTTCTCAACACAAACCCTTAAGGCAAGAAGAGCTTGGAGTGACATATTTCAAGCCCTAAAGGAAAACATCCTCCAACTCAGCCTCCAACCCTGCAAAACTATCTTTCAAAATTGATGGAGAAATAAGATACTTTTATGACAAAGAGCACCTGAGGAACTTCATGAATACCAAACCAGGACACCAAAACATTTTAGACAATATCCTAGGAAAAGACAACGAGTATCACAACCCAAGGAAGCCCAGCAGAATGAATCCAGCAGGGGGGACAAGAAACTAAATGCAAAGGGGAGAATACAACACAAAGAAAAAGTCATGACAATGATAAGTCAGTATGTATCAGTTATAACCATCAATGTTAATGGTCCCAATTCACCAATCAAAAGAAATAGACTGGCAGAATGGGTCAAGAAGCAAGATCCAACAATATGCTGCATACAAGA